TAATCTCTTTCTTTGGTAGGTCTAAAGCTCTAGACATCAGTGTTACCCAGTCTTTTCTAGGAGGAACGTCAACGACATGTGAAACAGATGTAGAATCATACGTCATCGCCTTGTCAACCATAACTCGATTATAATGTTCTCTTCCTTTTTGGTGTAACCGTTCTAGCTCGATTTCTTTTTCTGTCTAAGCTAAACGTACTTTAGCTAATTTTAACTCTAACAAGGGATTTCCTCCGAGCTGGTCATCACTATGGGTTTCTGAATAATGAGGAGACAATTCAGGAATATGATGTGATATGTGTTAGACTACACATACGAAACCGATCTAAAGCGCTTTAAATGCGATATCACTCAGGCCGTTTAAGGTCGCGAGAAAGAAAGCATGGTCAAGTTTGAAAATCGACTATTTTTCTTCCGTGTTTATCAAGTCATTGGAGATATACTGGAGGTTGTCACGTCAACCAATTTTGTCGTAGGCCGAAATAACGGTTTTGCTTACGTTCATATAGTCAATAAATTTGTCAGATCATGATTCTGTGAATCTTGTGGTGACTACTACTTTTATTCATCAAGTAATACTGCGTTACACTGAACGCGTTCAATACATGCGGGATAATATCCCAAGTTATAGAGGGCTTAATGATAGTCGTCCTTGTCCTAAAGTAAACATTCAGTGAATAATCGACAAATATTTGAGGCTAAGGTTAGTTCTGGCAGTCATTTTGTGAACAATGCCTTAATGTCTGGAGGAGTGTAGTCTTCGCTCATTAAACAGCTCGTCTTTTCTTAGTTATGTCTTATCAGCTTATAACTTATACTTGGGGTATATAGGCCTAAATATTTATAGTCAGTGGTGACTCACATATCAGCCTATTTTAAATAAGAATACTGATCCTAATCAGCCCACCTGCAAATACAAAAAAGCACTTTGTATGCTACTGTTGTCGTGCATTATAATATGGTGTTTAGTTTGAAAAAAGGTGATAAGTGTGGTCATTATGCGTTTGTGGACTTGTGGTGGTTTCCAACAAAAGGAGCTTATAAACGGTATATGGATACACAAGTTTAATTATATTATACCAAGAAAATTAATAGTAAAAAAAACTAGGTGTCTGTCTGTGAGTAAAAACCAAGAGTAACAAAATATAGTTACGATACAAATGGTATATTATACAAACAGACAATGACAGTTACTATAGAATAGATGTTACTTGTGAGCTGCTTCGTGAGAACAACAACCACAAATAAGTTCACTCGATTAACGAAGGTTCCTCTGCAAGTAATTGCACCAACGGCCTATTGAGAATGATTACGTCCAATAGTATTATAATATAATAATCAGTGCCAGAATTCCAACGTGGTGTTCGGAAGGGCTAAAGGGATGTTATAACACCATTATAGTCCTCAATCAAAAACCGTGGTCAATAAAACAGAAGAACAAACGGTGTAGATAGCGGTTTTTATTTTCAAACCTCGCGGTAGTAAGATCGTATATTATTCATCGAAATAATTATCATCATTGTTAACAAGTAATACAGAAAAACAACAGATATTGAATAAAAATGTGGTTATATATAAAGTGTGACAAACTAGAGAGAAAATACGGTTTTTATTTTGTCTTTACAAAAATCATTGAATATACGTCACCATAGACTATACGTTTAGCTTTGACCATATTTCAATATTACTTCCATTAAACAATTTCTCCAGAATTAACACAGACAATTGGATAAACAACTGACTTGTTACTTTCCTGAAAAATGCAGTATACTTTCCTATAGGAGGAGTGCTAAACGTCTTATTTAAATGCAATTGGATGGGGACAAACGTTAATAATCTGTTCAACACCTGGCAGCGTTATTTTACCGGACACCAAATGTCCTTGTACATCTTCCCGTAAAACAAGACCTATATAGAATTATTGACAACCCCAGGATATAAACTCTATCTACTACACTAGTTTTTTCTTCTGATTACTTCATAGGTTTACGTTTCTTATTCTTACTTTGGCAATGAAGTTAGTGTTGGGACTTTTGAAGTCTATCTGTTCGTACCAAAACTTTTTTTAAAAGGTATTATGCGTCGAATATGTTTGAATTCTTTAGTATTATTTCCATGTGAGACCGATGTATGAACACACTATGTTTCAATCAGAGGATGGTGGGAGTATGTCAGTAATAAATAACAATGCTATTTGCTATTATCTTTCCGAAATTTAACCGTTGAAGACTGTTGTTATTCCAGAAAGCTGGTATGGCAACATTAGCTCATCACAAATAAGGTTTTCAGAGTTCGCGATAATTTTTTCCCTAAAATCCGCATCTCATCATTCAAATAGTATTTGAAGCAAGCAGATTGTTTACTGAGTCTATTTAAATATAAGAATTTTCTGTTTGATGACCAGTATTATTCCGATTAATGGGCTTGAAGACTATCCCACAAAATAACGCAATACGAGGATATAGATTACGAGCTGTATCATGTGGATAACCTGGAATAGTCAACTACACGAAGTATCTGTAGTCTAAATCTCTTGTGTGTTATTCTATAAGTTTACCAATTTTCATACTGTATATTTCACCTTATTACTTGTCATCATGTAGGCAATACATTTCTATTTTTATTTTATCTACTAGATTTTGATAAGCCAGATCTACATTTGTATTTTCTAAATAGTCCATTGTAATTTTCTAAGTATCTCACGCTCTGTCTTACTAGTTCTCTTTATACCAGTTTAGAATGATCTTCCATCAACAACCAAGAAACTTTCACTGAATGGTCAGCTCTTTAGTGGTATTCGTTCTCAAGGCACAAATCTGCACCTAAAAATTACAAGCTTTTGTAGAGGATTTCAGTAAATCACAACCTAATTAAATAAATAAGACCGCAAATGTAAATTATTTGATCTAGATTTTTAAACTTTCTAAGAACATCTTTCTATCTGTCTTATACAGGCATTTTAAAAAAAGTACATGGTTCGTTGTACAACGAATTTACTTATCTACTAAAAATAAGAACACACAAATGAATAAATGTATCTCTGGTTGTCTAATGGAAATTCAGAAGTAACAAAGCAGAGAAGCCCTTTCAAGTTCATTTTCTATCCCTATTGAAAGTTAGCCAATACTCATATTGAATATTATGTCACCTAATAATCCTGCTTGTTCTAACTACATTTATTAATCGATTCCTATTATTATTATTATTATTATTATTATTATTATTATTATTATTATTATTATTATTATTATTATTATTATTAATAGTAACCTCCTCTTCTGGTTATCCCGTTAATCACCTTTACTCATTTTCAGAAATACTTGAGTTTGTAATATTATTATTAATCCAAACACTGTCACTTGATTGGCATGAATCTTGTTACTAATCTAATATATTATAGCAAAGCTGTGATTAAAAAGAAACATTTTCTCTCTCCTTTATTCACTTTTACATTTCTGAATGGGAATACTTAGTCTTAATTCACTTATCTACATCTTATACGATTAGTATTCTATGTACTTGAGTAAATATACAGTTCTTAAAAGTTTTCTGTACCCGTTTATCTATCTAGTTGCATATAATGAAGTTAATCATGTTTACCGTTCAAAATTAAATTGTTTTAAATTCACTTGGCATTGTTTACTTGAAGCTTTCCATTGATGATTAGGGCTGCAATTGATCAGTCTCTTATTGGCATATGTGTATACTGTGCGTATTGCATCGATATTGCCTTAAATCACAATCATTATAAGCACAGATGAATGATGACTAGCAGTGGAATTTAAGACGCGCGTTTCGTCCTATTTGGGACTCATCAGCTAGATGTACCTGCATCCCAGAAGTAATGTTCACTCTGGGACTCGAACCCAGTACGGTTCATCTCCACTGCTAGCCAGTATCCATCTTTGCTTAAATTACTTTAAGTTGAATGACTTTTATGAAAAAGAAAACCTCTTATTGACATTTAGGGCCTGTACCTGAACACCGATTACCACGACGCTCAATGCTGATCAGTTTTGGGGATGGTTGGAAGAAACTGAGGGGCGGCAAAACCAAAACGTGGCAATAGTCCTTGAAGTTACTAACTTCTAGTCTGAACCATGTTGGCAGGTGAAGACTACTTGGTTGGGGTCGGCGTGACTATTGTAACCAATGGTTGGAGACTGTGTATACACTCTCTGTCTTCCCTTAAACTAAGATATTAAAATCGCTTCATATCTTTCTTTCTACGAACCAATTCTTTCTTCCTGTGTTATATTCTTATACACAATCTTTCTTTTATGTATTACTGTCATTGAAGTAACCACTTCTATGAATTAGGTGTTGATGTTGTTGTGCTAATGAAGTATAACAACTTGGACCGATGCACATATGTGCCTGGTCCTACGTTGTAGCTGACTGACTGACTGACTAGTGCTTATCATTAATTAAGTTTTTAATTTAAGGCATTTTACTAATTATATATTAATACATAGTAGTAGTAGTAGTAGTAGTAGTATAAGCGGAAAAAAGGATTCATATATTAAACAATTACATTAATCACTTATACTAAAACTTTATTTTCATCTTAGAAATAATCTACACTAGAAAATTTCATCTTTGTGCATTATGAACAAACTAAAATTGTGTCATTTGAATTGTGAAAGATTTAGTATAAGAAATAATCATTTTTGTTTACAATCATTTGTATAAATATATATGTATATGTATATGTTCTTAAACATGGAATAATTGATTGATCTGATTTTTCTTTTTCCTTTCTTTTCTTTTTTTTAAAATTTTCATTCACTAAAACAAGTGCTGGAATGAAAGACAGTAAAATTGAAATAATGGAATTCTAAAAATATTCAGTAAAAATATTCACTGTTCATCAAGGATAAGTAAATTTCAATCCAATATTGTCTACTAATATATATATATATATATATATATATATATATATATATATATATATATATATATATATATATATATATATATATATATATATATATATATATATATATATATATATATATATATACGTATATGCATTTATTACATTGAATTGAAAGAAAAGAAACCGTAGGTAAAACAGGTTGATTTCATTAGTTATATATCAAAGCTGCCCAGTTGTCAATCTCACATACATTCAACGAATTTATCCGAAATGGATATTATTCAAGAAAGAAGTTACATATTATAGACATCATAGTGTAAAATGTTTTATGATTTATGTTCTTCAAATTTTAAAGTCAGTGGTTGATTAATTGATGATGTAGTACCAGGTGTTGTTGTTGTGACTAATTTTTGATAAGCTAAATGTTGTTGTATAATCACTGTTCTTACTAAACCCGGTAGTGCTCTTAGTTGTTCCTGTAAATGAAAATGAAAGATTTTTTTGTTTAATGAAAATCTTTGTAATCTAAGAAAAATTTTAAAAAAAGCAACATATTAATGAAATTATTCTGGTTAACATGGATTGTTTCTCTTCATACGTCAAATATCGGATAATCTTAAAAATTGATATCTGAAAGTTAATTTTAAATTCTACACTAAACGATTTAATTTTTTTTGTGGTTATGCCATTCATAATACTAATGAGTAGCATGATTTCACTTCAAAGAAAAAGAGATTTAAACATCAGAAATGCTCTTTCCAATAAGTTCTCATCAGATGCTACGGTTATAAATCCAAATTAATTTAATAATATGTAGTTTTAATTAATTTATTTACCATAAATTTGTCTATTACCCATAGAACACTAATATGGACGGAAAATCTAATGAAAACTTAATGAATAGAATATTCTTTGTACATATATCTGTGTTTTTAATATGATGGAAATTTTTTAACGAATCTCGCGAGGTGAACTCGTCATCGGCTTGCACTGCTGAGGAGTCCTACAGTAGGACGAAACGCCCATCCAGTGCTTCCAGGTTTTCCATGGTGGTCTAGCTTCAATTGGCACATGATCTCAACCATTGAGATTAAAATATGACAAATAACCTTTTCGCTTATTTTGCATACTAGTTGGATTTTTTCAGAAGTTTTATTCAGTGCACATCAAAAGTACTTAGGTTTAATGAAGCTGTGCCGTATAACTACAATACAATAAGTGATTGATGAATAATTAACCCTCTGAAGTTAAAGTAGCTTCGTGTACATAAAACAGTTAATAATGCTTCGATTTTTCCAAAATAGTAATTAATCCAATTTATTAGTGGTAAGATGTTAGAAATTGATTATGCCTGTCACCTCCTGTGAGGCATCGACTACCGATTAAAGATCTCGAATCAACCCTTCCTTTGGCTCTTCTTCCCAGTTTTTCCCAAGTGATAGAAGTAAGAATAGTGTTTTTAAAAATGTTAAAACCTTGCCATTGTTAGTAGACCTTACAGTATTTTTGCTGTAGCAGAAATTGACCTAACTGTTTGGAGATCTGAGTTCATGACGTAGTCAGCGATCTAAAGATTCCAATAAATATCAGTTTTAGTGAACCGTTACTTTTTCCACGCCATACTTTACATACACACATGTATTTTATTGTATTACTAAATTTAAAAAAGTGATGAAAGTTTGAAAAATGGCCTTATTTTAGTTGTGATCATCCGTATCTAATCATCAGTATACGTTAATGATGTGAACAGAGAAACAAGAAGCCTTGACAAACTACGAAAGCTATTTTTCGGGACGTTATTTCATTTAATTCAGAGCTTGTAAAACAGCAACATTTATTTTTGTCTCTAGTCTATTCTACAGATCATAAGCTTTCATTTGATGTATGATTTACTGCCATGGCCCTTTTTGTTCCAAAGCTATTGCAATTTAAACGTATTATTTTGTACTCTTTTTTCTACGTTAATCCCCAGTTTTGGACATAATTGTATTTTCCTAATTACTGTACGTCGTGGTCGGGTTATTTACTCATTCATGTACCTTTTACACTAATCTGAAATCGGGAACCAGATCGGAAATGAGAGTAAATCGAGTAGTGTTCCAGTTGACTCATCCTCTCTCACTTACGTGCTTGTCAGCCAATCAGGTGATAGAATAGTTTTATTCCCTCTACCCCACTTCGAACTCACGCGTACTAGCCTCAAGGTTAAGCCGGTCAGCTTATCGCGTCAAGTTCTTAATCTAGATTAGACAAGTTACGCTCAGCACAAAAAGTGGGTAGTGAGATCAACAACGTAACAGTTAATTAGATGAAAAGTTAACAAGTTCATTCTCATGAGTGAATTATGCCTTGGTTACAACATGTTATTTTTAAGTTGTCATCTTGTCATTAATTTATTTAATTAAAATTAAGTTTATAATTATTTTCAATTTAGAACTTGAGAGCTGACTGTTCGAGTAAATATCATTGTTACTTAATGAAACTAGCAAAGTAGTGTAATTATTATATTGCCATAAGGAATACAAGAAAAAACAATATATATTACAAAACAAACTGTTAGTTAGAAGTGGCTATACCACATTGAAATCCAGACATATTATACAAGAAAAAAAGTCTAAAAATTCTTGAGAATCAAATAGTTAGAAATCTTTAATTTCTCAGAGCACATTGGAAATTCATTACATTTTATCATTTATCAAAAAAAATTACCGACTCCTTTAAGTTACATTGATTAAACATTTAGGAACAAATGAATTTTGGAAACACTATGAGGATGACAATGGTACTCCGTTTTCCAAACATTAAGATATTGGATAAATAATCTATTGCTTTATATTATAAAGATGTAATCTTATTTTGTGTTAACATATGGAGTATATATTGGAGTCATATAACTAATGATAGGACGCACTAACAGTTGAACTGTAGACGTTTATGAGATGCGTTATTTTTCTACTTGGGGTCAATACAAACCCGACTGTGTTGTCAAGTTGTACCATTTCAAAAAAATATATAATGTAGATCATTTAATTAATTGTACTAAGTTCAACCCGGTTAAAGTTGAATAAAGTTTCAGACAAATACTGGAGTGAAGAAGATAAGTATCAATAGTTTATTTTGTCCATATTAATTACCTTAACTTCGTGATCAATAGAATCTTAATCTGTCCGTCTTTTATCAATTTTGGCTAAATCTAGCACAAATTAACCTCATTAGGTAAAAATCTTGATGAGCGGTACCAGTTATCGTTGAGAGAATCAGGCATGTGGCTGTTAGAAATGAGCATTATTAACCACCGAACCCAAACTTTCAGTTTTTGTATTGATAGTTACATGATTGAAGCAACACTAAACTGTTAGATAGTGAATATTTATTTTCGATGATGCATACATTTCTATTGAGATAAACCATTTATTTTTCTAATTAATTTGATGCTCTACATGATAAGTTTATGAAGTGAAGTTCACTACATAAGTCAAGCTATTCTCATTATTAAAAAATATATCTGACTTCTATATTCATAGAAGAATTGTCATGGAATCATAATCAGTTGTCGATTATGAATTGCATTCTCAAATGAATGAATTATGTAAACTTCACTGAAATCCATCAGAGCAAGAATAGGAAAGATAAAACTTGATATATACTAAAAAAATATCAATTTATTTCTAATCTGTCAGTCCATACGCGAATGGTCAACCAACTATGTGGTTAGAAGTCAACCGATCAAAATAGTCAACAGGAACATGATGACAAATAAAGGTAATGAAGTTTGAGTAGATAACTAGCAGGAAATAAGATTATGACAAATGATTGACTTGACGGTTTTAGAGTGATCATTAAGGTCTGTAATCAAACAATCCAGCTGTAGCAAACATCACACTTCAATTTAAAGCGATCTATTCTAGATGGCATTATTAGTATAACAGCATTTATTCGTCAGATCCAAATTACGTATTTAAGTATCCTCTTTATACAATCTTCAACAAAAAGGAATAGTTCACTGATCATCCCCACATTCAAATTGTTGGATTTTATGGGGGTTAACAGATTATACATTTATGATTCATTGGCCATGTATACCTTTATACTAAATTAAATATTGAAGTATATGGTGACTTTTACTCTTATCACTAATGATTTTACGTATCACAATGTTATTTGATAGATAACCATATTGAATTAACGATTTATTTCATCATTAAAACTCGTCATTTTCCTATTCCTGTTTTTTGTTAATGAATTTATTACTTTATTTTAGCATAGGATTTCGGAAACCACACAACATAATATCTCAACTACTTATTATAACTAACATCTACTGTACTAAAAGAGCAGAAATTATAGTTCAAGGGCCTATTCGATAACTCTGTGATTTCTTGTGGCAATAAGTCCTGAGTGGGTCTTCTTTTCAGGAATTTATAGCAGTTAGCTGAGTTGGCCTCTTCAATGCGCATTTACAAATTCAGCTGTTCCTGTGGAGATAGCTATATCGGGCGTACTACCAGGCAACTTAACCAACGAATGAGTGAACATCTACCAACTTGGTATATAAAGGGCCAGATAAAATCTATTCGCAGTTCTATTTTGGCACATCTCATTGATAGCGGTCATGTTGTAGATAAATCGAAATCATTTCGAGTTATCTATCGTATACCTCCATCAGTTCCCAACGGAGTTCGTCCCCGCCTCCTACATATAGCTGAAGCCATTGGAATTCGTATATATAAACCCAATTTATGTGTACAGAAGAAATTCGTAACTCCTAATCCCTTCCATGGCCAGTTATAACTTAATTAACGATTTTTTTCTTTATTATTATTATTATTATTATTATTATTATTATTATTATTATTATTATTATTATCTACTTATTTTATTCTATTTTTGTTGTCATTAGCCTTATTTTCACATCTAGTACTTGTTTGTAATTTTCCGCCTCTTGCCGTTTGTATTCTTCACTATCTAATTATTTACACACTTCTTATTACGTAATGATTTTAATGTTTTGTGATTACTATTCCTAGTCTATTTACCCACGTTTGACCTTCTATTCCCAACGTTTAACTATTGATAAGACTTTTGTTATTGTATTTTATCTTATTATTCTTATTACTATCAGTACACCTGTTTTCCTACTATCAACTTGTATTTTTACCTATTATGCGTAGAGACTTATTTTATTTCATTGTGATTATTGCTCCATATTGCCTTGATTGGTTTACATTTTCGTATAAGTTATTCCATTTAACAATTTTAGATCATGCTATGGGGAAATGAAGTTTATCAGAATTATATGTCATATTAGTAGAATACATTTGGTACAGTCTGATCACACACTTATTGATTAAGGCATTTATATATAGAAAATAATGACCAACTAGATAAACCGAAATATAAAAGAAAAACAGAGATCATAAAGAAAACATCTAAGCAACACCTCTCTTTAAATAATGTTCACTTAATTGAGAAGCTTTTTCAACAGGATTTTCCGAGTAAATATCAAATCCAAACATCTAATTTCTCGATTTATTAAACCATTGAACTTTCGAACTTCAGTGAAGTGTTTTTTCTTGTACACTCTTTCCTTCTTCCTCAGAAATCCTTTTGGTTATGGGGAGGTAAGTCGGTCAAAGCTTAGAAAAATAGTTTCAGTGGAATAATAAACTTCAAAGCAGAATTTAGGATAACAAGCGACAAAATCATGGTGTTTTCAAATAAATCATTCCTAAATAAATCCCAGTTCGTCACATGAAACATAATTTTCAGATCTTGGATATTTTCTTCTGAGTAAATTCCAGCGTATAACTTTCCCTGTCTAATGTAAGAGTGTAGTATTTCCAAGCTTACCACTTTAGGGAGAACACAAATAATATAATGATCAGAACTAAGGAATCGAGCACGTTTACGCGACACATGTATTCTCACATCTTTCGATGCAAATCAAATCTCAGTGCTCGTCCAAACGAGCGGGGAAACCGAGTACATTTTGATGACTCAGTGATGGAATAATCACGTTAATTTATATCGACGCATATAATTTAAGGTAAATTATTCAAGGGAGTAACAGTGAATTCATTGAATTCATCAACGAAAACAGACAGTGTAAATGAGGTGCAGTCCAGAGTCACGTAAATGTTGCTAACATAAACATAATTGTACTTATCAGAATGGGTTTTGTGGAGATTTTAGAAATTTCACTGATTGAAATCATCAGTCAATTGAAGCTAGACCACAGTGGAAAACCTGGAAGCACTGGACGACCGTTTCGTCCTAGTATGGAACTCCTCAGCAGTGCGCATCCACGATCCCGCGCCCCATGGGGTTCGACCCCAGGACCTACTGGCTTGGCGCGCGAGCATTTAACCATTAGACCACTGAGCCGGCATCCAATGTCTAACTCCAACCAATCCAAGAAGTTACGCCACCATACACCACTGTCTTCAATGAGTTCCTATCTCACAACAGACCTGGGGGGCGGGATCGTGGATGCGCAATGCTGGGGAGTCCCATACTAGGACGAAACGGCCGTCCAGTGCTTACAGGTTTTCTATGGTGGTCTAGATTCAATTGACTCATGATTTCAACCAGTGAAATAATTGTACTTGTTCAATTGTTTTAAACGGCATCTTAATGTTAAGCAGTCGATAAAGTCGTCTGAAATCTTTAAGCGCACAAATTAGATCGACATCAGTTCACAATTATAAACGTGGCTATACCACCACCGTTCGTCTATATATTGGTTGATCCATCCTGAAGATTGTTATATCCCGAAGAGAATAGTGAATGGTAACTGTTGGAATATATTTCTAGACTAATATTATACATATATTTTCATTGTATAGTTATTAAGTAGCTAAATTATCCATATTCATGATCCTCTTATTATAAGATTTATTTTGACCCATAAACTATTATTATACGGTTTACCGTTCATCAGTTCTGCCCAGCCTATTAATTACTGTCTCCCACATTCACAGCTACTTTTGGCTAAATCTTGTACAAATATTATTTTCTATTTTATGGTACGATGTGGTCTGTTTGGTTTGTATATAAATTCAGTATGTTTGAAATACATGATTCATATCACTGAGGCTGAGATTTGTGTTCTTAACTTAACAGGCAGAGCTGGGCAGGAAGAAAGACCGATAAAGTCTCTAGACTGCTCGTACGGGTTTTGTGAGTAATTAGTTCGGTCGGTAATTCACTGTTCTTTAATTGGCGGTATCATTACGTTTTATATGATAATAGGGCACAAGGCCAAAAGTTATGACACAGATAAATGTTGAAACCATGTAGTGATACTGCACAACTGTCGTGTAAATCATTCAACTCATATTCGTAAATTTTGATTATACCATTATCACGGTACATGTTTAAACCTGATAGAAGCTGAAGATAGTCTACCTTGCTAATTAGTGGTCGGTAGCTGGAAGTTAGCAGCTCAGTCATCGATATCTTATTAGCGTTTATTTTTTTTAATCAGTATTCCCAGTCATTGAGATGTTTCCGACTGCACTTTATTATACCATGCAAAGCAATAAGTTGTAAACTTTTTATATACACACCTGAATAAGTTGTGCGCTTGCCGAAGGTAATTGGTCTGATGAAACAAGCAAAAGTGATAACTTGTTGAAATATTCAGATGGTAGAAGGAACAAGTATCCCAGAAATTCAAGCAGTCTTCCAATGAAGCGAATCAAAGAATATCGTGATTAAACTTGAGATTTTTTTGCCGATGTTTTGATTGATCTAGATTGTTGGGTGTTTGCAAATCATTGAAGGTTCTTGGTTGTTGATAGTCGACTTTCCATCTTTCATTGAACTCGTTTGCTAATATTATTTGACTGGTTTTAAGCCTAGGAATTTGATGCTGGTAGTCGATAGGGAACCACAGGCTTAGGTTAGGTGATGGGCTACATGGTGTGCTTGCTGTACTGAGGGATATGAATCTCCTAAAGGGATTTAAGGCCGTATCACCCAGTTCCACTAATGTTAGGATTGAGCTATTTGGGTAAGTGGCCATACTATCATATTGTATTTAGAAATTGTTCAACACTAAGGAAAGGATAATATGACTCTGGTTATCGAGACATTATCAATCTATATATATTTTAAGGATTCATCTTAAGTGATTGATTGGGATTCATAATTGGAAAAATGAATTGAAGACCATCTAGATTCTATTCCTAGTTTAGTCTAGGTTATTTAGGCTCTGTCTATAAGCAACCACCTAACGATCACTTAGTGTAACAGTCTAAAGTTGTCTTGCTATATATGACATCTGGTAATGTCTTCTGAAAGACAAATTTCTTCCATTAATGAACGTTAATGATTTATTGTCAGGACTATTCTTGATGAATGGGATGATAAGTTTATTTGTGGTATTGACAGCTGATTTTGGCTTTATTTATTAAGGAAGATTATCGATTAATTACCATGATTTATAACCTCTGTAAAAGTACATAGTAATCAGCTTGTGTATGTGGTGGAGATATACAAAATGCAAGACTTAACACGTATACATTTTATAAATGGAATATATATATATATATATAACACAAACGGTAAGCAAATTCACCGACTGACCTGTACTTTTATCAGTGATGATTCTAAAGTCTCCATTCTGTGTTGTAGACAACCTTGTTCCATTCGTAAATCAGTAACAATTTCATAAATGTTTGTCTGGGTCTAATAATAATAATAATAATAAAGCAAAAATAATGTGTTAGGATGCGGGAATTACTGAGGATTTGAGCATAAGATTATTTTGAAACCAATCAACAATTTTTCGAATAAGTATACATTAATTACTAAGGTTTTCTTGTAGATAAGTTTTGGTATAAAGTATAATAATTATTTATGATGTCAAGAAGTATTTATCCTTGTATCTATGGTTGTGCAGATTTGTTCAGTTAATATTCGGAATTAGATATGAAATATGACAGAAATTGTCTTCCATCCTAGTAATGATTGGGAATTTTGAAATAACCCATTAATTACTAACCAATACCATGCTCTCTAAGTGAATCTCTTTCATCCAGACTGTGATAAAATTAATAATGTAAGAAACTGACATTATTTACTTTTCAGTTTGTGGCTAGTTCACAGAATTTAATCTCAGATGAATGTTACTTCATTCTTGAATTCTACACTAATAGGCATAATTTTGAATCCCTGAATAAATAAACAGTTTAAGTTCATATGTAATGAATCGTGTTATATGAAACATGCAAAGATCGTGCTGTACTCTGTAAGTTGTAGTCCACATATCCTAACAGTTGTTTAACTTGTATGAAATTAAAACTCATGATTCTGGGTGACCGATTATTAATCAATAATACTACCACTGCTACTACTACTACTACTACTACCATCACCATGAATACTACTATTAATAATGTTAATTGTGATAATTAGTAATGCTAGTGAATAGTTGATTATAGACTTCAAGTATTGCTGAGAATTTATATTATTACAATAGGTTTTTCTATACTTCGTTTTGATTTTCTGTGCTAATAACCGAAATTAACTAATTAAACTACAAATTCTTGATTGATTGCATTTAATAATATTCCAAAATTTCTCACGAATAAACTTTTAAGAATGTAATAAGAACAATTAGTGGAGCTATTTTCCATTCAAAACCCTGAATATAATTGAAGGATATACCATTTATGAAAGAGCAAAGAGAGTAATCCTCAGAAAAAAATTTAAAGTTTGTTGAGACTCATTAATGAATGTATACAATCTTGAGGGTATTGATGTCGTTTCTGTAGATTTAAACCCATTTTATTGAGTGCCAAAAGTCAAAATTAAACTGTTCATATAATTACTCGTCACTTAGTCTTATAATTTGTCAATTCTTGCATATTACCTATTATTTTTTATTGTTCTCCATTATTCTTTCCCGGGCTTTTGAGAAGAGACTTTGCTGTATTGTGGAGAGTGCTGAAGGCAGTTAGTAAGGTGTGTGATGAATCTTTCGAGGTCATTATTAATATGGTTGTGGATAGACATCTCAAGTCATGCAAACTCCTGGCAAGTGTTATCTTATCAGATACTAACCATCCCCTTCACTCTTATCTTTCTCCTTGTATAGCTTCTGGTAGAACGAGGCGTAATTACATTAAAATCCATGCACGCAAGCAAAAGTATAAAAGTTCTATAATACCTTACCTAGCAAATATACTCTGTGACGAACAAGTTGTTAGAGTTAACCTAGTCAATAACCTGCATTCTTAACATGTCTCTAATTTGAAAAGTTGTACAGTTTTTCGGCTGTTTTTTTAAAAACCTTTTTTATTCCTTTTTTGGTAAATAAAGAAGGAACGAATTGAGCGAAGAAATTTCTTTTCAATTAGTTTTTCATCATGGCTCTACACTAATATATATATGATTTACAATAATAATATAATACTCATCGAGTGGATACGTTACGTAATAATTACATAATGACATTTAAATTAACATTAATTAATTGGAAGAAAGAGGATTATTAATATTCAAAGTGATCAAGAAGTTGCTAAGTTGCGTAATGTAAGAAACAAAGAAGGAACGGAATTTTAACGGATGGTCAATAGGATGGTAGTTACGTAAGAATCAAGAGATGAATGTTGAGAAGTTATTAAGTTCAAAGGCAACAGAAATAAAATTACAAAAGTTTTAAAAAATTATAAAAATTACAAAAGTTTTAAAAAGTTAAAAAAAATGGAAGAAGTATGAAAAATAGTTATTTTGAAGGAAATCTTAAACTGATGGCCAGGGCAGGGAAAGTGGTTGTACGAATCTCTTTTTATTTCTGTTGCCTTTGAACTTAATAACTTCTCAACATTCATCTCTTGATTCTTACGTAACTACCATCCTATTGACCATCCGTTAAAATTCCGTTCCTTCTTTGTTTCCTACATTACGCAACTTAGCAACTTCTTGATCACTTTGAATATTAATAATCCTCTTTCTTCCAATTAATTAATGTTAATTTAAATGTCATTATGTAGTTATTACGTAACGTATCTACTCGATGAGTATTATTTCATTATTGTAAATCATATATGTATTAGTGTAGAGCCATGATGAAAAACTAATTGAAAAGAAATTTCTTCGCTCAATTCGTTCCTTCTTTATTTACCAAATGGCAAAATGGGAATTTTCACTATATTCCTTTTTTGTTTTTGTTACTTTTCTTATTGTGTAAGTAACTTGCTGAAATACCCTGTGCTGAGAATTCTCTATTGTATCAAAATATAACATTGAATAAAGCCATTAATAATAATAGTAGTAATAATAATAATAAATATTCCCATAAAAATAAAGTTTCCTCGACTTTACGGTTACTTAAACTGTAAGGAATTAATTACCTTGTTGACTGTATATTTCAATCTACTTATATAAATCTCGATGATCAAATGGTAATAATATTTATCCATACTTAAATTATAAAGAAAGTCATGTAGAAAAACGGACTTATATCTATCAGTATAGGGGTTGTGGAGATTATTATGTTTTTGATCCAGATCATAAATCGATTAGTGTTAGACTACCATTGAAAACCAGTGCTTCCAGGTTTTCCATGATGGTTTAAAATTAATCGGTTCATGATCTGAATCAAAAACTTTAATTTAGTTAAAACTTGTCATTTTAAAAAAATCAGTTTATAACCAATCTCAGTTTTATGAAAGATGTAAAACAAAACAAACAAACAAAAACAATCCAACAAAATGAATTGCTTTATAACACTGATCAAGTTTTTTCTTTCGATCATCATCAAATGCTTTACTCAAGCATGAATTTTATTCATGCAAAAATATGACTTGATAAATAGGTCATAGATAAAAAATATTTTTTTTAAAAAAAAGTATAACGATTAAGTTTTATTAAATGAGTTGGTTGCTAGGTCAATGGTATATTTGAATCCTTTAAAAATTATTATTGTTGAACCCTTAAAAGTATTTAGCTATTCTTTATGAATTTTAGCTCAATTTATTATTAAACTGACGTCTTATCAACAGCAACAACAACAACAACGAAACTATTTTGTTCTAAAATATGTTACTGTCTAGTTTTTTTAATTTATCTATTCAAAAGTATATCTTAGATTTTTTGAACATGTTCCAAAATGTCTTAGAACAAAGGAAAGAAAGACTCTGAATAGTGCAATCACCAAGCATCTCCTTGATACAGGACATCAGGTAGATACCTTGCAATCCTTTAGGGTGATTAGTAAGCAGCCAAACACCGATCTTCTGAAATTTACTGAAGCCGTTGCCATCAGGCGTCCAAATCCTGACCTATATGTTCGAAAGGAGACGGTTGTTATTCTTTCCTTGCCTTGGTGACAAATATTCTTTCGCTGCAACTTAAAATTTTCTTAAAAACTTGTATTTATTACATCATTGATTTTTATTTTTCAACTATCTTTCAAATTAATAATCTTTCAGCTGAACTCTACTCACTGTATTCCTATCAATGTTTATTCATTATGTAATCAATTGTTTCTAACCTTTTTGGACTGTTGTCACAATTATTGCTGTAGAATATTCTTTCACATTAGCTATATATTTACAACATTCAGTCTATTAATTTCATTTACACCCATGATATACTTTACGAATATGTCTTCAATATAACTTCCAACCAAACCCATTCATGTAAGTAATTTAAACCCGTTATGTAATTATAGTTTTAAATATCACAGGTTGTAAGCAGCTGACGAGAACCAACGAAATAATAAAAAGATGAATTCATGCTATTCCGCTAGAATGTTTGTTCTTGCTCTTTTCAAAATGATAAAAGGAACTATGTATATGAAATTATTCAAAAGTAGTATAAAATAGGTGACTTTTAAAGAGTTAGATGAATTGAGCAGTTTGCTAAAATGTTAATCAGTAGAATGAATTTAAATAGTGTATTTCTACTTTAAGTTTTGATTGATCATTATTTTCAACGATGGAAAGTAATCGTTAGCGGTAAGAATAAAACATAGTGGAACAAAAGCAATGTCTCCTTCATATAATTTCTTCGAGTTGTTTAATCAGTCGTATTAGATTTAGTTATTACCATACTTTCAGACAAACATTCTAACTGATAGGTATATAAACATTATATTTCAGTAGTTTAGTTAATTGTCAATAATAATAATTCATCTTGAAGATAATTTTCAACGCTTTCAGCAACTACAAAATAAGCTAAAAAAGAAATTGTTTCAAAGCTATTCTCATAAAAAAAATGTACACCAACTACTTCAGAAATGAAATAGGATTTACAAACGTCCAACCATTTGGTCAGAATTCAATGATTTACACTTTTCAATATTGTTAACTCTTCTGTATAACTTGACCTTTATGTAAACAGCATCCATTTTCATTCAGAATTAAATTAAATTGACGATTGATTTCTAACTGACCAAATTGAGAGTAATTGGGTTAGTAATTTCTAATCCACTGACTAAATGATATCTTATTCACGTCAACGTTTGTGTAGCTAAATGATTAGATTCTTAATCTATGTTGTTTTGATTTTCATTTGTTATAACCTTCTATCAAAACGGTAACATTTTCATATAAGAACTTTCGTCTAAATTTGTTCGAATAGTCTCACAGTATTTGTATGTTTTCTTAGAAATCCGCCGATCAGAGGCGGTAAATAGTGAATAAAATTTCTTCTCACACCTCAGATTCACTTAAAAATAT